TGAATGTAGATAAATGTAGAGCAGCTGTCAGTGTCTAAAATCCTCCATGTTTCTGTGTCTCGACTCATTAAAGATTCATCCAATCAGCTTGTTGATTTATTAGAGAAGATTCAAATGAAATATTAATGATGATGTCAGTCCGATGTTCTCTGATGTCTGCACACAAACGACTCGTCCTGTTCTGTGTGATGGACGAAACAAACCTGATCAACACAATCATCTCTTTATTCTTTGTTCTTACTGGTCGTCGCTGCACAGACACATAAATACATTGTGATCGCTCTAGAGCTGCAGCTCGTGTGAGATGTGACGGTTCAGAGACGAAGCTCCGAGTCCTGATATCAGCAGCTCAGTGACTCGGTCAACTGCAAACAACGAGTCAGAACGAGGACAGTTTGAATCTAGTGTCTTCATGTCTGAGGACAGAGAAATATCCCTGTCCTCAGAGTAGCTGCGTGTCAGAGTAGCTGCTAGGCGTGTTATTATGCAAACATTCAACACGTGTGCAGATTGTGTCTTTCTCTGCTGTAACTGGTTGTTGTGCGTGATGTGTGGTTGTGTGTGTGTTTTCAGAGCGTGTTGTCTTCTGCCTCTGCAAATGGCTCTGGAGTCTAAAAACTCCAAACTGGGACAGACGGCGCTCACTGGGATGCAGGTACCTGAAGATAATATAACTTAGTATTTTAATCTTCTTTAGGTTGTAACAGCAGCTTTCAGGGCGGCTGTGGCTGAGGGGTAGAGCGGTTGTCCAACAAGAAGGTCGGCAGCTCGATCCCCAATCCTCCCATCTGCATGAAGTGTCTTTGGGCTGAATTCACGAATTTCCCCATAGAACAAAACCAGTGCTGCTAAAAGACGCACTGTATGAATGTGTGTGAATGGGTGAATGGATAACTGCTCTGTTAACAGCATCATATAAATACAAACCATTCACCATTTAAATCTCCAGTGGAACAGACGTCACATGTCTGATTCCTCAGCAGTCTCTCTGTGGTGAGGCGTCTGATGTCAGATGGTAGAGATGATGATGAGTCTTCAGTTTTATTAACATCTGCTGACTTCCTCATTAATCAACAAACATCTTCCTGTTGTTTACTCTTCATGTCCTCTCAACAAACGCTCATATGTCCACGTCTAATCATGTTTAATTTCATTTTGACACTTCCTCCCTCTCCAATCAGAAGCTCCTGTGTGAGGACAGGTTTGTGGGCGGGGTTGGCGTGGATGTCCTGGAGAAACAGCTGCTCAGCCAGATGTTGGAGGCCATCAGAATCACTCCGTCTCTGAATGAAGACCTGCAGGTGGAGGTCATGAAGGTAGGAACCAGAGGAGGTGAAGAGCTAGTTTAAATGTTTTTCAGTGTCCACGAGAACAGACAGATTGTGTTTGTGTTCAGGTCCTGCTCTGCATCACCTACTCACCAAACTTTGACATTAACGGAGACTCCATCCTGAGGATCGCTGAGGTGAGACGAGCTCAGTCACACAAGCTTCAGCTTCACTGACACATGAAGTTTTGCTGAATATTGAAAGTTTCCCTGTGCAGCTGCTGCTGAGATTGGTTCTACAGGATCCTGAGAGGGACAAAAGAGTTTGAAGGCCGAAATAAGAAATAACTAAAACGTTTGTTTATGGATGAGTGAATGTTTCATGTGTCCAGACTTTATTCAAATCATATCTTCATCATGTAACTTGTATTTTGAAAGTTTGATGGTCAGAGGTATCGTGGTGTCAGGCAGTCTGTCCATTTCATTCTTGTGAACACGATATCTCAAGAACACCTTGATAAATATGTTTTATCACCAGTGTCCCTTAAACATCCTGGAAAACTTTATATTAATGTAGTTGGAAGATTGTTTACAGACAAAAGTTCCCAGAGATCCACAGCGACAGCTCCTCCTCCTGCTCCGCCCCACGCCTCAGTCCGGTCACTGTGGTAACTGTGTGACGCCATGGAAACCTCCCATGAACCTCTCTGATAGTTCAGTGTGTGTGTGTCGAGACTGTGCGTCATGACTCTGAGACAAAAGAAAGGCCTCACACTGTGTGTGTGTGTGTGTGTGTGTGTGTGTGTGTGTGTGTGTGTGTGTGTGTGTGTGTGTGTGTGTGTGTGTGTGTGTGTGTGTGT